GTTATTTTTCAAGCCTTGTATTAGGGCTCTCTAGAGGAAAAGAATCAACAGAGCAAATCAATTGGTAAATCAGTTCATCCACCATCTACATGAATGAAATAACTTAGTAAATCAGCTAGTGTTACAATAGTGAAACGTGGTCCTTGAGGCTGAATGCCTCGGTAGATCCAACCTGGTACTGGAGAAACCTACAGGATTCCTGGAGAGCCACCAGTACTTAGTCAATGACAGAAGCCTGGAACTGCTGGTTCTGAAATCAGTGAAGAATCAGCAACAGCAGTCAGGTCAATCGGCCAACACAGGCAGAAGGCCAAGCCAGAAGGCCAAGCCAGAAGGCCAGTGATCTTCCCTGTGCCAGGAAGTGGATGCCCATATTTAGAGATGGGCCTTCCCATATCAATAAGGCAACCAGGACAGTTCCCCACTCAGGTGACTCTAATCTGTGGCAAGCTGACATTCAACCAATTATCGTAAACCTTTTGTTTGCATTTTGGTCTCTCAGCAAAGTTTTATAGTTTTCACACCTCAACATGCAGACTGCTTTTACAGTCCGGGTTTTAATTACTACCACTGAGGATTAGTGGAGCCAGGACAGATATGAGGCCATGGTACCACTCGGACAATTAGATGAAGTATGAAGACATATGCTCAGTGCTTTCTGGAAGGAAGGCATTTACAAGAGAAGTTTAGAGTGTTAATAACAGCAGATGGGGGTGGACAAACCAAGACACTGCTTCCTTCTTCCTGTCTTGTGTGCCCCAAACTGTCTATGCAGCTGAGAACGGTTTTCTAATCTACCTGCCTCAACCTCCTGAGAGCTGAGACCGCAGATGTGCGGCCATGAGGATTGAATCTAGGACTTTGTCTGTGCTAAGTGAAACACCATGGCCAAAAGCAAGCAGGGAGGAAAGGGTTTCTTTGGCTTACACTTTCACACTGCTGTTCATCAGCAAAGGAAGTCAGGACAGCAACTCAAACAAGCCAGGAATCTAGAGGCAGGAGCTGATGCAGAAGCCATAGAGGGGTGCAGCTTACTGGCTTGCTCCATGTGGTTTGCTGAGCCTGCTTTCTTATACAACACTGACCACCAGCCCCAGGGTGGCACAACCTACAATGTTCCGGGCCCTCCTCCATCACTTACTAATTAAGAAAATGCCCTACATTCTTGCCTGTAGGCCCTCCCCCCATCATATGGAGGCATTTTTCTCAGTTGAGGTTTCTTACTCTCAAATGACTTAGGCTTGTGTCAAGTTAACATAAAACTAGCCCACACACGAGTACTTGACCAATTTAGTATTCCTCTTCCCTCCTTCGGTAGCCCTCCTGCCTTCATGTCACATGTATTCTAATTATACCCACCACACACACACACACACACCTACAACCTTAAGATTGCTTCTGCCGATCTCATGGTTCCTAGTTTCTTTAGCATCCATGCATCAGGTACAATAATAGGGAGAAGTTAAGGCAATTGATTCCTAAGGTTCTGAGCAAAAATGTAGACTTAAAATATTTTTAATCATTTTATGTGTATGAATGTTTAAAGCCTGCATGCATGTCTACGTAACATGTGTGTTTCAGAAGAGGGCACTGGGTTTCCCTGAGATTGGGTTACAGACAGTTGTGAGTCGCTCTGTAGTGGTGGGAAACAAACCCAGGTCCTCTGCAAGAGCAGTGCTCTCCATCATTGAGTCAACTCCCCAGCCTTAGGTTTTACTTTTGTATATACATAAACATGTTCATAGTACATATGCAAGTACACATATGTGTGGAAGCCAAAGGTTGATATTTAGTGTCTTCTTCAATTGCTCTCCACTGTATTTTTTTTTTGGGGGGGGTAGGTAGGGTTTCTCACTAAACCCAATGCTCGCCAATTCCACTAGACCCAGTGTGCACCAATTCCACTAGTCTGGCTACCCAGCAAATCCTAGAATCCTTCTGTTTCTGTCTTTCCACCCCTAGGTCTACAAAGCATTCTGCCATGTCTGGCTTTTTACATGGTTGCTGGGGATCAGGACTTCAGGCCCCCATGCTTGCATGCCAGAGACTACCAACTGAGCCATCTCCCTGGCCCAGTTGAGACTCTTGAGATGGTGGGACTGTGGTGGACGAACATTTTGAAGGGATTGCCCCACATCGATGCTAAGAAGCCAGCAGAGTATGTACTGAACTTCCAAAAGGAAAGAAAGGCTAACTAAATTACAATGTATCAAATGAAATATGCAACCTAAAAATGCATGTCCCCCGTCAGGTCTCTGCTGTCCTCTGTGTCAGGGATCTGGTAGGTCAAGACATCAAGTCACTTTTGTGAAAATTAAAGCTGCCCGCACTTGGCAGTGGGATGTGTCTGTCCTCAGATACCAGTGGGAGCCTGAGCCCCCATTTCCCTTCCATTCAACATTCGGCAGTCACCCATCAAGGAGAAGAGCCAAGCTACTCCAGGGACTGCAGCCTGTCCTGTGTGCTGCAGACCAGCCTGGGCTATACCATGAGACCCTGTCTTAAAAGACAAATTAGAAGATCAAATCAGCTTTTCTCATTTTATTATGACATGTGTAGTGAGAAGTGCAGAATTCCTAAGTGTACACCCCAAAGGACTGTCACATTGTAACTAGCACTCAGTGAGATGACTGCTTCAGGCATCACAGATGCTTCTCCTGGCTCTCCCCAAAGGCAGCTCCACCTAGATTCCAAACACCACCCACCAGTTCAATACCAGTAGCCTTAATCTATCAGCTCCAGGGTTCATCCTGGATTTTCAGATTAGGATGTGCACTGTGCAGCCCATATAATCTACACACATACAACAGTCAAGAAACAATTCTGTCCCTAAGCATTTCCAGTCAGGAATACTCAACTCACAGGTTTGTGAAGTTTACAGACATAAAATCATACTGCCTGTTTTCTCACAGCATGGTCAGTCCTCCTGTGATGTTATTAGTAGCAGGCTCATTTTGTGTTAATTCAGCATCAGTGTGAACATTTGTTTCCTAACATTTGTGGTGAAAACTAACGGCCATTTCTAGTGTTTCTATCAGACACTCTGTGAGGTCTGTACCTGGACATGAGGTCTCTCAGTTACAAGGGATGGCTACTAAACCACAGGGTGGACTCTGCCAAGGGAAGCGTGACCTGACCAGCAGGCCACCACTGGAGCCACTCCCACCCTAGTCTCTCTTCTGGATGCCCCCTCCCCAACTGCCCCCCAAACCAGGGAAGCTTGTGGAGCATAAAGCCACATTTGAGGAGTCAGTGAAATGGTTCGGAGGGTAAAGGTTCCTGCCACCAAGCCTGGTGACCTGGGTTCAATACCTGGGACCCACGTGGTGGAGAGAACTGAATTCAGCAAGTTAGCTGACCTCTGCACAAGGACCATAGCATGTGCCCACACCACACTGAACATAAACACCATCAGAGGGAGAGGGGGAGGGGGAGGAGAGGGGAAGGGAGAAGAAGAAAAGAAGAAGAAGAAGAAGAAGAAGAAGAAGAAGAAGAAAGAGAGAGAGAGAGAGAGAGAGAGAGAGAGAGAGAGAGAGAGAGAGATAGATAATGGCCTTGCTGCTTTCAGAATTCAAATCAGATGATTTGTAGAATCTTTCTGTCGCTGAGATAAACACCAGAGGTAGCAACTTAGGAGGAAAGGTTTACTTTGGCTCATGGTTTATGTGGTTTCAGATTACAGTGGCTTGGCCCTGTTGCTATGGAGAGACCTGTGGTGGCACAGGACGCCATGGTAGGCACAGAGATAGAGTAGAGCTGTTCACTTAGTTAGGCATGGCCTCTTGTGATCCCAGCACTTTTGAGGATTATTGTCTCAAACTTGAGGCCAGCCTGGGCTATAATTTGTTCCAGGCTAACCTGGGCCACTGAGTAAGAATGTCTCAAAAAAAATTTTTTTTTAAAAAAAAACTATTTACTTTCATGGAAGCTGGAAAGTCAAAAGAATGGAGGGGCAGGGCTTGACATCCCTTCAAGAGGATATCTCAGTGCATCAACTTCCACCCCGGCCCCACCTAAGGCCGTCTCTATCCCCTCAGCAACACCAGCTGATGAGCAACACGTTTAAGACCCAAACTTAGGGCTGCAGCTTGGGCACACACCTGTAATCTCAGCACTTGGAAAGTAGAGGCAGGAAGATTGTGGGTTTTAGGCTAGTCTTGGCTTCACATGAGACCCTGTCTCAAAAAAACAAGAACCACGGGATAGCAAGTGAAGGCATGCTTGCCTAGATGCAGGAGGCACTGGCTTTGATATTTAACAAAATGACTAAGAAGTTGAAGGGGAGGAGAGCGCCAGACTGGACCAGCAGTCAGACTGGCAAGAGAGCAGGACACAGAGTGGGTGGCCCGGCCCGGCTCCAGCGCCCACTACCACGAAGCAGGCGTGGATCCAGGAGGGGGTGCTCTCCTGAGCAGACGGATGGGTTTAATATTATTGTGAGTACCGTCTCCCACCTGTAAGAGAACCATGCAGTCACTTCCTGGAACCAGGGTTTGAAACTCAGCATGGCCCTGGCCCCATCTTGGTACAGGGGACAGACAACAAGCTTGTGTTCTGCTCCTCAGTCATCAAGACTGTCAGGGCACAAATGGCACTGCATGAAATCTTCTGGAATTTATAGTTGTACTATTAAAATTTATTACATTTTTGGTTTTTTTGTGTTGTCATAGTTCCACCCTCTGCCCCTGACACTTTGATTCCCTCCCTTCTTCCTTCCTTCCTTCCTTCCTTCCCTCCCTTTCCTTCCTTTCTTGTCTGTCTTTGCTTCTTTTTTCTTTCCTCTCTCTCTCTCTCTCTCTCTCTCTCTCTCTCTCTCTCTCTCTCTCCCTCTCCCTCTCCCTCCCCCTCCCCCTCCCCCTCCCCCCTCTCTAATAGATATTGCAACATCACCCAGACTGCCCTCAAACCCGTGACCCGCCTCAGCTTCCCAAGTACACGTGGACGCCCCTACTCCCGACACCCCTGCTGTTCTCTGTTGGGCACACAAATTTGAAACAATATGAGTATAAAACAGAATCAATTCCTTTTACTTCTAGGTTTACATCACTAACCGCAAGAGACCACTGAGAAGAAGAAAAGCTGAAGCAAAAAGGGTTTTTTGTTTTGTTTTTGGAGTAAAAATTTATCCTGCTCCTTACAGTGTCCTGTGACGCGCCCTTATTAACATGGCATAACAATTCTGCTAGCCATGATGGAGCATCTCATTAAATATGAACTTGTTACAAGTGAAAGCTTACTCACCCCCTCCCCCCACCTAGTGTTAAGAATACAACTCAGGGCCTTGCGCGTGCTAGGTAAGCACCGCACTACTGAACCTCACCCCAAGTTCTCTCTTTATATTATCATTTAATCAAAGAACCAAACCAAACAGCCAAGTTTGCCACCTTCCAACCCATCTGTAATGGCTCCTTCAAAACACTGTAGAAGGAATGTCTGGTCAGTTCCGACTCGGAAAGCAGAACATCAGAAGGATTGCTCTGAGAATTTACTTATGCTTCTTCGATAACTTGGCCTCTTGGTAAGATCTCTTCTTCAGTTCTAACCATGACTGCCACAGCAGCAGGCCTGGGATCAGAACCCACAGACCATTAAAAAACACCAAATAGACCCAAAGGTAGAGCCAGCTGCTGGTGTTGAGGTTGGGGCTTCCGACAAGCCACTCGGGGAAGAAGGTCATCCAGCAGCCATAGAGTTCACACACGCACAAGGTGATCTGTATGAAGTGCCTGTGGGGGCAAGACACGAAATGAAACAGGACGGCTTGGCACTCTGAATCTTTAGAGCAGCCTCAATGGCCTCTACAACAGAAGTTTGTGGGCTCCAGTGTGGTGCTTCTTTAATGGGCCATGTCAGCCTAGACATGTTCCTTGGGGAAGCAACACTGCCCTATCCCAGCAGTGTTCTCAGGAGGTCCTAGTGAGGTCACCTCCGACCCTCAAAGAGACCTGAGTATGAATCTAGTCACCAGTCAGCTTCATCTGTTGCAAAAACTGACAACAATCCTTCCTCAAAAGGAACTGTGGAGAGTAAATGAAACATGCCGATCAAGGGTCTTCATTTCCTGTGCCGGACTCACAGTCAACCAGTGTTTGAGACGACACACATGCAAATTTGTAACATGTCTGCAATTGTAATCATGGAGCCAAAATAATGTTAAAGGAACCGAGAAAAATTAACTGTTACTGCTAATCATCTTAAAAGCAGTAGAGAAAAGGTCTTAAAAGCTGGGAGCGAGTGAGCGGGGCCAGAGTGAGAGGAAGAAGGGAAGGGAGCACTCTTTCCTGTCTGAGATTTCACAAAGCTTTACATCTTGTCTTGAAGTCTTCCGTAAAACTTTGTCTTGTGGACAAATGTGCCCGCGACTACATCCAAATGTCACTTGGGCAGTTAATGTCCCCCTTCTTGCTGGTGGGAGCAGACTTACCTGTAATATTTCTCTTTGACTATGGCGTAAATGAGGACCAATGCCAGGAACCCATCCAGGACAACAGTCAGGATTTCCAAAGACACAATTGTCGGATCAAAATACAGCCATCTTGTGTCAGCCTTGCCGTATTCTTTCCCTAAAGACAGAATACCATGCTTAGTCTCTCACCTGGTAAATATTTGTGTTAAGTTTTTAGGCAGTGTGCAGACTAATGGGCTACATTATGACAGTTTCAGACAAGCACGTGAGTGTGCCCTGTCACGCTCACCCCCCATCACCCTCTCTGGTCCCTTTCTGATGAGTGTGCCCTGTCACACTCACCCCCCCATCGCCCTCTCTGGTCCCTTTCTGCTGCTCTCTTTCTCCTCTAAGCTGCCACGTCTGCTTTCCTGTAATATATAGTACATAGCTTTTCATCTAGATTCACAGAGATGCGGTATTTGCCCATTTATTGATAGGATGATTTGGTTCTGACACTTACTTTGAGTCCTTTATAGCTTCTGGTTATTAATCTTTGCTGGAAGTCTGGTTGGTAACGATTATCTCTCCTTCTGTGCTCTCCTCATTCTCTTACAGTAGAAATATTTAAATCTTACACAATCCCACTTGCCAGTTCTCACTATTATTTCCTGTGTTATTGGATGTCTGTTCAGTTGCCCATGTCTTTATCTTGAGGTGTTTTTTCTACAAGTCTCTCTAGCAGTTTAGCTCTTCAGGACTTCAGTAAGGTTCTTGATCCATGTGGAGTTGATTTTTATACAAGGTGCTCAGTATCCTGGAACTGAGTTATAGGTGACTGTGAATTGCCCAGTACGAAGGCAGGGAACTGAACTCTGGTCCTCTTTAAGAGGAGCAAGGGTCCTTAATCATGAGCCATCCCTCCAACCCCTAATTGTTTTGTTTATTTTCATGGACTGCTTCATGAATTTGCATGTGATCCTTGAATGGTGGCCAGGCTAATCTCTGCATGGTTCCTATTTTAGTGTTATGTGCTGCCAAAGTGAGCACCTGATTAATTTTTAAATGGTAAAAGTTGTACAAGCTAATCTCAAACTCACATTCTGAGAGTAAAAGGGTGGGTATCTCTACCTCTCTCCCTTCAAGCATGCCTGCATGCTACATGGAGAAGGTGTAACTGGTTAGAAATGAGCTCTGATGGCTGACTGGTCAGAAAGCTGACAAAAAAAAGCTGGTAGGAAGCTCTCATCTCATAGTGGCCAGAGACAGGATGCCTCAGGACTAGTGACTAAGGTCTCTCAAGAAAGGCTGTCTCTTATACTTTTGGTTGTGAGCCTAGCCTTTAACGCCTGAGCCACATCCTCATAGAAGTAGAAGGAGGGGGATGGGATAGGGGGTTCCTGGATGGGGGTGGGGGTGGGGAATAGGGTAAGAGGATAACATCTGAAATGTAATTAAATATCCAATTTTTAAAAATTAAAAAAAAAAGAAAGAAAGGCTGTCTTGAGTGAAAGGCCACACAGGTGAAGAGTCCCTGTGTAAGGCCACACACACCACTAGATTTTGGCAAGCCACCTGCCATGTTCAGAAATAACTGTAGTAACTGGAAAGCAAGGCAGTATTGAAAAGAAAGAAAATCCCTAAACATAAATGTATAAACGAGAGGTAAACTAAACCAATCGAAGTATTCAAAGTCTAGGAAAATCATTTACATAAAATGTCAATGCTTTAGGAGCAAAGAGATTAGTGAATGCTTAGACATTAAAAACAGAAAGCCCAAACCATAGTCTCCAGTCATTCTTTTTGATGATTATTTATTTTAGGCATCTGGGTGTTTTGCCTGCATTGTGTGTGCCCTATGCATGCCTGGTGCCTGGTGATGGCCAGAAGATGGTGAGGGTCCCATGGGACTGGATTATAGATGGCTGTGAGCCACTATGTGGGTGCTAAGAATTGACCAAGATCCTCTAGAACAGTCAGCACCCTTAATCACTGAGGCATCTCTCTAGCCCCTTATCTAACAAGTGGTTTTTGAACATAGGGACTGTCTCTGCTGGGCCTTGAGAATGTAGTCAGTAAGCCATAAGGGCTATCTGAAAGTGGCTCACACTAGGAAGGACAAAAGTGGTGCTTAGATTAAAAAATGGGACCCAGGAAGATGCCCTAATGATTCTTCACCCTTCTGTGTCAGGAAGGTGCCTGACACTGGACCTGTCACCGTGACATCCACCCCAGCTCAGGAAGGCCACTAAGCAGGGACCTATGAGCTGCATCTGGGAAGACAGTAAATCCCAGGGCCTTACTGGTGGGCTTGGTAGGAACAGGATGGGATGAGGCTGATCCCTCAGAGAATGTGATAGACTCCTCCACAGGAGCAAGCAGTGTCTGGTCTCCATAACCAAGGGGGCTGACGGCGAGTACTCTTCTCTATGGAAATGTTGGGGTGCCCTCCAGGTTTACTGCACATCAAGTCAAGGCATATCATTTTTAAATTTACTTATTGTTTTTACTGCCACTGTTGTGGTTTGATCTGGGGACCAAACTTACTGCTTTCTGCAGGTTGGGCAAGCACTCGCCCGGCGAGCTATAACCCCAGCCCTTTCTGTTTTCTGAGATAGTGTCATTATGTAGCACAGACTGACCTCCAACTAGCAATCCTCCTGCCTTACCCGCCCAAGTGCTGTGATTAGAGGTGTATACCACCAGGCTTGCCGGCAAACAAAACACTGAATCCTGAGTTCAGCCTTACATCACAGGGGATGACTGGGTAAACGATGGGCTCCAGAGCAGAACAGATGCAATGGTCCCAGGCCAGAAAACACAATGTCTGGAATTAGAGGTCCATGGAAAAAGCTATAGCATGTAGAGATGTTGAAAGAAGGCAGATGGGGCCTGAGGCCCCGCTGTCCAGACCTGGTATGTGAGCCTCTGGTATGACCTTTGCTGCTGAACTCTACCTATCGCCCAGTTTGCTATGCCTGAACATCTAAGGGTTAAAAAGCATGATAATGCAACCAGTTCCATCTATTTTATGATTCGCAACTGCAGGAGGCAGAGGTTCAGAGGGAAAGGAGGCAAGGCCATGGCAGGGGGAGGCCTCCTTAGCCCTGCCACTGCTGCCTTCATGGTAGCCATCCAGTAGGGAGGAGGGCATCCCACAGCCGGAAGCCAAGGCCAGGATGTGGCCAGAACCCTCTGGAGAAGCAAGTGCTCTTGAGCATTTGCTGTCATAATAAAGAGCAGGTCACCTAAAGGCAGTGACATAGAAAGGCACCGCCAACCATCGTCTTCTCATGGGCTTGGGCCACACCTGGGCTGCTCCCTTTCACTGACGACCAAGCGGGTAACCAGGGTGGGAGCTGCAGTACGGCTTCTGACAAATGAGACCACAGAACACACACGAGGAGGGTAGTGACTCAGGCTGGGTCTTCGAGCCTCAAGACTTTCCAGCCAGCCTGAAGGGAAGTTTAATACAGACATCCCCCACAAGCCTTGGAGCTACAGTAGCAAGACTCTGGCCAAAGGGGCTTGGATCCCTGCCTGCCCACAGCACAGGACTGGAGGGACCAAAGATGACACATTTTGTTTTCGGAAGCAATGACTGAACTGAGACAGTTCAATTCTTTAGACATTTTTTAATGCTGATAGTGAATAAGAGTGTCCACATAGACCTGGTGTGAGGATGTGATTTCAGGACATGATGAAAACACCACAGGGTTGGGGTGACGTGGCAAAGGAACACAGTGCATGCTCAACAACATAAGCAAGGTCCTAGCTCCATCCTCAGTGCTAAAAGATAAGATAATAAAATAATATCATACATTAGGACTGGCGAGATGACTCAGCTGGTAAGGGTGCCTGTCACCAAACTTGTCCTCTGTCCTTCACGGGCATGCACACATGCACACGAACACATGCACACACAGAGAGAGAATAAATAAAAATTGAAGTCACAAAAGAAATAAGAACATAAAACACACACCCACATATACTTGCATATACCACACACCTGGACACTCAATAAATAAATCAGGATAAAATAAAAGCAAAGTAAAATAATAAAATGAGGAAGAAGAAGGACACACAGCACACAGTGCAGAATCGCAGATGCCAAACCTGAAGGGAAATAACAGAGATGCTGGTGTCTGGCTCACTGACTTAACCATATCGGTCAGTACAGAACATACTGGGAAGTCAATAGCAACTGAGTAAATGTTGGTCAATTTACATTGAGTGTTAAGAAAATGGAGAAACTACTTGATAGCTCTACAGGGCAGGAGGAATTTGGAGAATTCTCTAGAAAAAGACGGGTATAAGCATACAGCCAAAAGTAAATTGTGGGCTGGAGAAATGGCTCAGCAATTAAGAGTGTATGTGCTTCTTTCAGACCTGAGTTCAGCTACCAGAATCCACACTGGGCAGCTCACACTGCATGTGACTCCAGCAGAGCTGACGCCCTCATCTGGCCTCTGAGGATACTGCCCACAAGCACAAACACACTGAGTGAGAATAAATTTTTTAAAAGTAAATTTATATAAAAATATATAGGGGAAGCACCCAGTTTAAGCACTGAAGGCCTTTCGATGTTCTTTCTTTGTTTGACGGTGCTGCACAGGGGCTCACGCATGTCGGGCAAACACTTCACCACTGAGCCACACCCAGCTGTATACACATTGTTTAATATATAGCTTTGCTGAGATGTAATTCACATGGCACACAATCCCAATTTAGTACATTCACAGATTTGAATAGACACAATCTAAGCAAGAACATTTCAAAGAGAAAGCCACACCCACCAGCAGTCATCCCCAGTCCCACTCATCCCCACTCTTATCCCCAGCCCCAAACAATCACTAATTTGTTATCCATCTCTAAAGATTCACCTCTTCTGGACAGGACCTGTAAATGGAATCATACAATATGTGATGTAGACATTCAGTTAATTGACAGCCATTCTTGCCATCAATCTCCTCAGATATTTCAAATGCAAATGTTTTTAATTACTTACATAAAGATGCAATCAAGCCTTGGGAATCTGCAACTTGTCCTACTATAGACAAGTAGACAAAAGCGCCTTCCTAAAGAGAAGAAAAGGATCTGTTTAGCCTCGCCACCACAGGGTGGCACAACAGACACATAGCAGGGTATGGTAGCAGCCCTCCTCCCCTCTGTAAGCTGTTCCCATTTTGGCCAGTGGCCTGGAGGACCACATCATTTCTGGAGGCTACCCAGATTGGGAAATGAACATGGCCAAACCTTATAATAAATGTACTTTTTAATGACTGGCATTATAAAATCAGAGGTATGTTCTTATGTAAGAAAGACGAGTCAAAATTTTACACAAGGAGAGTGCTTGACTGACGTACAGGAAAAAAAATCAGTTCTAGGTTATTTTAAAAATCTTAAATCTTGAAGAAGAATCTCACAGCAGTTTATTCTTTTAACCGTAAAAATAAAACACATGTGGCCAGCAAATATCTAAGGCAGGGCTGAGGCCCCTCCTATGCGGCATAAGGGGAAATGTAGGGAGGCTTTGAACAGGTGCAGGCTTTCTTTTGAGGTTTGGTGATAACATGTCTGCAGGCATCTTAGTACTCCCTCATCATGGAAGTGATTCTTTGCCCAAGTTTCCAGAAATCAAACAGCTCGAACGCACTGGTATATCTGATGTGATGTTGGTTCCCTTGACTAACTTTTACTGCAGCTTTTCCTCCTCTGACATTTAAGCTCTCTGCATCTCCTCTACCCTCTTTGGTACCTGTTTCTTCACTTCTTATTCATGTATATATACCCCATCCCAGTTCTTCCATCAGGAAATCTGGGCTTACTCTATTTCATACAACAATGGATCTCTTCTTGTGCAGAAATCTCACTTATTTTTTTTCAGAGATATGAGAACATGTCTTTATTTTTTCAGAGATATGAGAACATGTCTCTGATTTTATAATGCCAGTTGTTGAAAAAATCATTTATTAGATATAGGTATAGCACTCTTCCATTAATTAAGCAAATGTGTGACTTCAGTAAGGGAGTGAAAGCGTCTGGCCACCCACTCATCTGTGTACTGTAGGCTCCTTCTAAGAACACAAGAGCCTCCCACTCCCATACTCTCCTTACAGCTTCCGATGGCCAACTCCTGTCAACTCCTGTCAGTCTGTTTTGCTTGCTAACATGGATGACAATGCAGAGAGATTACATTCTCATCCTGGTTCTGTAAGCATATTTGCCTTCTCTATTTTCTGTCAGTGGATTCTAAAACCAGAAAAGCCACCCAAGCCATTCCTACTGTGCTTGTAGTGGTAGTGTTCACTGCAGTGGACCACAGATGGCTTTTCTTTACTAACCCAGCATCTTACCTGTGTGTCACTAAGCCTAAGGTTATAGGTGGAGGGAGGACCCTTCCCTACTTGAGTGGCTCAAGAACGTGCTGCATTAGTTTGCTTTGTACGTGGGCCAGGACTTGCTAGTGTGAGGCTTCTGTTCATCCCACAGTGATTGCTTTTCTCTGACTTTCATGCTATCTCTTGTGTGTCATTCAGCTCTTTCTCCACTCTAATGTCTATTAACATGGGCATGGAAGGAAGCTGCTTTATGCTTTTTCCTTGGCATTCTTTCTGGACCACCTAATTAATAAGTGTGCTTTGTCCAAGTCGATCCAAAATGCATTTTCTTCATGGGAGATTTAGACCAGGCATGGCAGCAAATACTTGTACACAAGTTTAATGCCTGTGTGGGCTATACTATGAATTATAGGCCAGCCACCCCTTCCACCTCCCCCCCAAACAAAACTGAGAGGCCTATGATTAGTGGGCTAGCTGGGTGAGGTAGTGTGTATTAGGGCAGTGGTTCTCAACCTGTGGGCCATGACTATTTGGGGGGCGGTCAGATAAACTTTTAGGCTACCCTGAGATACACGAGATCTGATCTCGAATAACTGAAGATTATCAGACTGCATCAACACCTACACCCAAGTTGTGATAACACACTGTCATCTCTCGAAGTTGCCACTGAGGCCAAGGGAAATACCTGAGGTGGCTGCTTCTACCAGAAACTTCTCTACTTGCTAGATAACATCTGTTGTTTTTATTGCTGCTGCTGTTTTAGAATAGTCATTTTGTGGGTGTGAAGTGGTATCTTGTGGATTTTGACTCATAATTCCTTAATGATGGGTAACGCTGAGCCTCTCTGCATGTGCCGGTTGACCATCTGGATAGCTTCTTCACCGAGATGTCTATCCTTTGCCCATCTTTGAATCTTGCAACTTTATTAAGAATGCGAATGTTTGGGGCTGGTGAGATGGCTCAGTGGTTAAGAGCACTGACTGCTCTTCCAGAGGTCATGAGTTCAAATCCCAGCAACCACATGGTGGCTCACAACCATCAATCAATCAATCAATGAGATCTGATGCCCTCTTGTGGGGTGTCTGAAGACAGCTACAGTGTACTTATAATTAATAAATAAATAAATAAATAAATAAATAAATAAAGTTTAAAAAAAACAAAGCAAATAAATCTTTAAAAAATAAATACAGTTAGATCTATGCCACACACTTTAAAAAAAAAAAAGAATGTGAATGTTTAAAAATACACATACCACTGCTTGGTACTTAGTCAGCTTTCTGTTCTATAACAAAATAGGCTGGGTACTGTATAAAGGAGGTTTATTTAGCTCACATCAGTTCTGGAGGTCCAAGAGCACCACTTGGCTCTGGTACAGCCTTCTGACTACAGCTCAGCCCAGCGCTTGGCTTTCCAATGGCGCATGTGTGAAGTAGAGAGTTCACACAGTGAGACAGGAAGCCAGAGACCAGGAGCCAGGGTGTTCTTTAAAGCAACTTTACAGCCCTGATAGCATTAGATCTTTCTAAGCAGTGGCCGTGTCACTGAATGTCTTGAAACCGAATAGCAAGGCTAAGGGCTGGCAACCATTCGCTGCAACCACATACCTGGTTCCCAACCACCAGCCAGCTTTTCATTACCACAGCAGAACATCTGAGAAGGGCTAATTTCAGAGGGAAAAAAAGTTATTCAGCTCAGCAATTCAGTGGTTGAGAGTCTAGAAGATTTGGCCTCTGGTGGATGGAGAGCAGTGGGGGCATGTGGAGAGAGAATTGCATCTCAAACCAGGTCTGGTCTTTCTATAGCAATGCTCTTGTGAGAGCTGTCACGGGGTCCCATGAGGGATTCCATATCCCATGATGACCCAAGAACTTCCCATTCGATGTCACCTCTTCCAGACAGTATCTCTGGAAGGTTCTGTGACTTGAGCCTGGCCTGCTCTGACCATGAAAGAACTTGGGAGAAACACAAATGACTAGACCCAGGCCCACTGCAGAGGCTATACTAATACACACATACCCTCCCCAATCACAAACTCAGCAAGACGCAGGAGGCAGAATCTGGTCACAGAACGAGCGCAGGGACCATGGTTCTAAAGATTCCTGGGGGATCCTGAACCAAGAGTATTCTACCTACATAAGAACTACAACAAAACCATCTAGTGCTATATTCTAATGGCTAACACTGTCAAAGGAAACCTACAGGGTTCCTCACCGGAATTCACTTCATGTTAATTAACTGTTATTTTAGTTTTAAGTTATTTTAGGCTCTAAAGCATGAAGTTTACATGGACATTTTCATAATCAACAAAGACAGTTACTAGCTTCAGAAGTCTTTCACAATAACATATGGTCCATATCCACTGTAACAGATTAATATCCAGAGTATATGAAGAATTAAAAAAAAAATAACCAAAAAGACTAACCACAATTTTAATACCAGAGGAGCAAGTCAATGAATCACTCAGGAAGTGGACAAATGATGTGAACATCTCTCAAAGAAAGTACAAAGGGCCATAAGCATGTGAAGGAATCTCCAGAACCTTTAGCAACCAGAAGTAAGTAGATCTACACTACCCTGAGATTCTACATTACATCAGCTGGGAAAGCTGGCTGTGGGGTTTGTGTATGTTTGGCCGAGGGAGCGGTACTATTAGAAGTGTGGCTTTGTTAGAGTAAGTGTGACCTTGTTGGAGGAAGTGTGTCACTAGGGGGTGGGCTTTGAGACCCTCCTCCTAGCTGCCTGAAATACAGTTTCCTCCTGGCTGAGTTCTGAACAAGATGTAGAACTCTCAGCTCCTCCAGCACCATGCCTGCCTGGATAAAGTCATGTTTCCTGCCATGATGATAATGGACTACCCTCAGAACTAGTAAGCCAGCCTTAATTAAATGTTGTCCTTTATAAGAGTTGCCTTGGTCATAGTGTCTGTTCACAGCAGTAAAACCCTAAGACATTAGCATACTAAAAATAAGGCCTGGAGAGATGCTCAGTGGTTAAGGGAACTAGCTCCTCTTCCAGAGGTCCTGAGTTCAGTCACCAACAAACAAATGGTGGCTCACAACTATCTATTATGGGACCTGATGCCCTCTTCTGATGTGCAAGCATGCATGCAGAAAAAGCACCCATATACATAAAATAAATAAAAAAATACAAAACATAGCTTGGTGTGGTGGTGGTACACATACCATTAATCCCAGTTCCTAGGAGGCTGAGGCAGGAGGATCTCCAATTCTAGGCCAGACTGAGCTACATAATGAGACCCTGTCTCAGAAATCAGGCTGACAAGATGACTTATCAGGTCAAGGCACTTCCTGAACAAGCCACATAGAGATGAAAATAGAACCAAGTGCACAAAGTTGTCCTCGGAGTTCCATAGAGGAGCCACAGTTCATATTCATCCATATACACAAACAATAATAGTAATGAACAATCCAAATGAAAACCTACTACTGTAGACGCTTCTTAAAACATACAGATACACAAAGAAAATGTAAACAGAGTCAGCGTCTAACGGGGAAGGACAGCACCCCAGTTAGACATCAGGTGCTACCAAGTAAAATTTCCCCAGAAATAGGATTGGGTATCTTTTTGAGTCACTGGCCAAAGGGGACCCACAGACAACCACCAAACTCTACAGGTTACTGCCAGTGTTGTTGGCTACAATCCACAGCCTTACAGTAAGACCTTGTTGCAGGAGAGACCACATATATGTGCCATAGAACATGAAGAAATCTAGCTGG